CTCTGTATTCCCTAATACAATAGTCTACTTAAACTACAGCTAATCAAAACATCACTTACCTGATAGAGAGGTGAGTCTTAACCGGCTCTGTATTCCCTAATACAATAGTCTACTTAAACTACAGCTAATCAAAACATCACTTACCTGATAGAGAGGTGAGTCTTAACCGGCTTTGTATTCCCTAATACAATAGTCTACTTAAACTACAGCTAATCAAAACATCACTTACCTGATAGAGAGGCGAGTCTTAACCGACTCTGTATTCCTTAATACAATTGTCTACTTAAACTCCTGCTAATCAAAACATCACTTACCTAGTTGTCCTGCCATTCAGCCAATATTTTTGAGACAGTTTTGTCTTTTTCTTTAGATGTAATCAAAATCAGTCAGATTCACATATACGATATGGTCCACTGTAATTGGGATAGCTAGAATGAACTGAAAAGTAACAGCTTATTGACTAATATGTATTTATTCCTGACTGATAGGTATCCCAGAACACTGCCCCCCCCCCATAAATTGATATAAAACAACGTAGAATTAACATGAGCTATCTCCCTGTACAGAAGGGCTATATTTGGTAGTAACATGAGCTGTCTCCCTGTACAGAAGGGCTATATTGGGTAGTAACATGAGCTATCTCCCTGTACAGAAGGGCCATATTTGGTAGTAACATGAGCTATCCCCCTGTACAGAAGGGCTGTATTTGGTAGTAACATGAGCTATCTCCCTGTACAGAAGGGCTATATTTGGCAGTAACATGAGTTAACTCTCTATACAGAGGAGCCAATTTGGAGAAGAAAGACAAGGACAATTACACTCCCCTGCTGATGGCCGCATCTTATGGTCACGCAGACATCATCAAATTGCTGCTCAGGAAGCGTGTGGACCACGAGGCTGTGGAAAAGAATGACAAGACAGCACTTTACCTGGCCGCGGAGGAGGACAACCTGGATGCTTTAAAGGTATGATACATAGCTAGACACTCGAATTAATGTGTCCCACCAGGTGCTCACAAATTACCGTACGCTACTGAACATTTCCAAGTTAAGGTACACATACGGATGCTCACAAATTACCGTACGCTACTGAACATTTCCAAGTTAAGGTACACCAACGGATGCTCACAAATTTACCATACGCTACTGAACATTTCCAAGTTAAGGTACGCATACGGATGCTCACAAATTTACCGTACGCTACTGAATATTTCCAAGTTAAGGTACACCAACGGATGCTCACAAATTTACCGTACGCTACTGAACATTTCCAAGTTAAGGTACACAAACAGATGCTCACAAATTACCGTACACTACTGAACATTTCCAAGTTAAGGTACACAAACGGATGCTCACAAATTAAGGTGTCCATTGAAACTTGTTATAGTTCTGAGCTATTTTCAAGCTAGGTGCCCAGTATGGTGATCTGAGGATAAGGTTCCTGGCTAGTTACTTCCAATAAATTATGCCACAGAAAGTTTCTCAACTGGATACTAAAGGTGCTCACCTAGATTCTCTCAAAGTAAAGAACAACCAAATGAAATATCAATATGTAAATTTAAAATACTCAGGAATAAATCATTGATGCACAATCTCTGAAACAAGCATTCACAATTAAGTCCTTGGTCCACAATCTCTGAAAATAAGTCATTAATGTACATTCCAGAACTAAATACTCATGAGAATAAATCGTTTACGCTAACAGGCCTGGTATCATTATGTATTTTGCGAACATTCTTGATTTCAGTAGTCCATTTATGTGTCAAAAGAAAAATGAAAATTCATTAAGCATTCATTTAGTGCATGAAAAAATCTCCTCATGACATGAAACAGTGGTGATAATCATAAAAACTAAACATTTTAGAGGAACTTTGAAATTTATCAATGTTTAAACTAAGAATGTGGAAAGACTATATGGTAAAAGTTGGTGAAACTGGAACCGGTTATCTGAACTGTTTGGTGGATATAAATCGTTTTGTTTCAAGGCACTTCTGATGGTTGGACGTGTGCGTAGACTGGTCAATGTGGGTGACAGGTATGATAACACACCTCTCCATATCGCTGCAGAGAAAGGCTACCTCAACATTGTCAAGGTAAACAAGTTATGGAGTTGTACACGTTTGTGTGTAATTTAAAACTTAATATCATTACAAAATAACCGTGTCAGCTAAATTTAAATAAAACAAGGAAAACCTTTTCATTACATATTTCAAATTGAATTTGTGAGCAAATTATTATATAGCTTGGGAGGTCTGTAAAACCGGCCTTACTTTCACTGACCGTATTTATTGATGTCCAGGATGAATATTAAATATCAGTTTGATTGTTTATTATGCTGTTGTGTAGTGTCTTCTGGAACAGAAAGTGGACGTTGATGCCAAGAATGAGGAGGAACAGACACCATTACATTTAGCAGCTAAATCAGGCAGGACCAAGTGAGTAGTGGCTACTGATATAGGACATGTTCTGTGTTATATTTCAATCTTGAACAAGGGAATGAATTAAACCTGAGGTATTAACTATATAGTCAGCAGTTTCATTAAGTGTCAGTTGGTGAAATCAATGTCAGGCAGATTCCTTAAATTTCTTTTAAAACAAGGAATGTGACAGTCTGTGGTATAACTGTATCTCTGTCACTCTCCCAGTAGCCACACACCACAGCAACAATACACAGCATTGTGACAGTCTGAGGTATAACTGTATATCTGTCACTCTCCGTGTAACCACACACCACAACAACAATACACAGCAATGTGACAGTCTTGTATAACTGTATCTCTGTCACTCTGTGTAACCACCCACCACAGCAACAATACACAGCAATGTGACAGTCTGGTATAACTGTATCTCTGTCACTCTCTGTGTAACCACACACCACACCAACAATACACAGCAATGTGACAGTCTGGTATAACTGTATCTCTGTCACTCTGTGTAACCACACACCACAGCAACAATACACAGCAATGTGACAGTCTGCGGTATAACTGTATCTCTGTCACTCTCTGTGTAACCACACACCACAGCAACAATACACAGCAATGTGACAGTCTGAGGTATAACTGTATCTCTGTCACTCTCTGTGTAACCACACACCACAGCAACAATACACAGCAATGTGACAGTCTGAGGTATAACTGTATCTCTGTCACTCTCTGTGTAACCACACACCACAGCAACAATACACAGCAATGTGACAGTCTGAGGTATAACTGTATCTCTGTCACTCTCTGTGTAACCACACACCACAGCAACAATACACAGCAATGTGACAGTCTGAGGTATAACTGTATCTCTGTCACTCTCTGTGTAACCACACACCACAGCAACAATACACAGCAATGTGACAGTCTGAGGTATAACTGTATCTCTGTCACTCTCTGTGTAACCACACACCACAGCAACAATACACAGCAATGTGACAGTCTGAGGTATAACTGTATCTCTGTCACTCTCTGTGTAACCACACACCACAGCAACAATACACAGCAATGTGACAGTCTGAGGTATAACTGTATCTCTGTCACTCTCTGTGTAACCACACACCACAGCAACAATACACAGCAATGTGACAGTCTGAGGTATAACTGTATCTCTGTCACTCTCTGTGTAACCACACACCACAGCAACAATACACAGCAATGTGACAGTCTGAGGTATAACTGTATCTCTGTCACTCTCTGTGTAACCACACACCACAGCAACAATACACAGCAATGTGACAGTCTGAGGTATAACTGTATCTCTGTCACTCTCTGTGTAACCACACACCACAGCAACAATACACAGCAATGTGACAGTCTGAGGTATAACTGTATCTCTGTCACTCTCTGTGTAACCACACACCACAGCAACAATGCACAGCAATGTGACAGTCTGTGGTATAACTGTATCTCTGTCACTCTCTGTGTAACCACACACCACAGCAACAATACACAGCAATGTGACAGTCTGAGGTATAACTGTATCTCTGTCACTCTTTGTAACCACACACCACAGCAACAATGCACAGCAATGTCCTCATAGTTGACAATGATTGGTTTGTTTAATCAATTAGTAAAATAGCTTAATCCATATTAATTTCATAAATAGATACTTTCAGGATTCAAGTAAAACTTTATGGACATAAAAGAAAACTTTATTTAAAATCTTGTTTGAACAGTGATGATGGTTACATTTTGTATCTCATTATAGAAATTTGTTCCTTGTGAGAATGAAAAATAAGCAGTCCGAGTTATTGCCATGAGAGGTATTTGACAATAAAGATTTGTTTTTCTCCAGTATTGTCCGTGAGCTGGTGTTGAGAGATCATTCATCTGTGAATGACGAAGATGAGGACTCAAACACGGCCCTCCACTTGGCAGCAGAGTGTGGCCATGCCAAGGCTGCTGGAGTACTGTTGGACAATGGGGCAGATGTGGCCGCTAGGTAAGTAGTTAACATCCAAAACTGGGGGATAATAATGGGGCAGATGTGGCCGCTAGGTAAGTAGTTAACATCCAAAACTGGGGGATAATAATGGGGCAGATGTGGCCGCTAGGTAAGTAGTTAACATCCAAAACTGGGGGATAATAATGGGGCAGATGTGGCCGCTAGGTTAGTAGTTAACATCCAAAACTGGGGGATAATAATGGGGCAGATGTGGCGGCTAGGTAAGAAGTTAACATCCAAAACTGGGAGATAATAATGGGGCAGATGTGGCCACTAGGTTAGTAGTTAACATCCAAAACTGGGGGATAATAATGGGGCAGATGTGGCGGCTAGATAAGTAGTTAATATCCAAAACTGGGGAATAATAATGGGGCAGATGTGGCCGCTAGGTAAGTAGTTAATATCCAAAACTGGGGGATAATAATTGGGCAGATGTGGCCGCTAGGGAAGTAGTTAACATCCAAAACTGGGGGATAATAATGGGGCAGATGTGGCCGCTAGGTAAGTAGTTAACATCCAAAACTGGGGGATAATAATGGGGCAGATGTGGCCGCTAGGTAAGTAGTTAACATCCAAAACTGGGGGATAATAATGTGGCAGATGTGGCCGCTAGGGAAGTAGTTAACATCCTAAACTGGGGGATAATAATGTGGCAGATGTGGCCGCTAGGGAAGTAGTTAACATCCTAAACTGGGGGATAACAAAGGGGGTATACCTAACTGGGTCTGTATTCTAGGGTAAGGCATTTAACATGTAGAACATTCAAATTTCATTTTTTATGCATAAATGCATATAACCAAAAAAACAAATCCCTCATCAATGTTGAATTAGTGGTAACCATGTAAATCACTATATATTAATATGATTACGTAACTGTGTATTGGTGGTATAATAAGCGGTGGTGAGGATAAGGCATTTGTATTAACATTTAAATCGCCTCCAGGAATTGTAATCTGTGGACACCGCTGGACTCGGCAGCATCAAAGGGCTGGGTAAAGACATGTAAAGTTCTGCTGGAGGCTGATGCTCCAATCAATCCAATGGACAAAACCAAGGTAGGTAGCCAACGTCAATTTATACCATCAGAAAGTAATAAAAGTATTTTACGATGAATTGATGTATGATAACGATGAAATGATGTATGATAACGATGAAATGATGTATGATAACGATGAAATTATGCATGATAACGATGAAATGATGTATGATAACGATGAAATGATGTATGATAACGATGAAATGATGTATGATAACGATGAATTAATGCATGATAACGATGAAATGATGCATGATAACGATGAAATGATGTATGATTATGATGAAATGATGTATGATAATGATGATACAATGTATGATAACGATGAAATGATGCATGATAATGATGAATTGATGTATGATAATGACGAAATGATGTATGATAATAATGAAACAATGTATGATTATGAGAAAGTGAGGAGTTAATTGTATCCCTGTTGGTTGTAGACTACCCCTCTTCATCTGGCTGCCCGGTTTGGGCACTCTGGTGTGGTCGAACTCCTCCTCCAGTGGAAGGCCAACATCCAACAGAACGATTCCAACAGTGATAACTGCCTCGACTTGGCCATCGACAATAATCATCCGTATGTACAGGGATAGTATGAACTACTGTTTCTACCAGTTAAGTTAGCAACCTTCAGAATTCTAGAGGTCAATGGCTGAAATTGAATGCAGGTGGCCCTTATCAAAAATGAGGCCTAACATGTATGATATATAGGCAGTTTTTAGTCCCCCACCGGTTCAGGGTTTGTACTCCGTCCATCCTTCCGTTAGGGAAGTTTGCCCGGGACATATCTTCTATACTATTTCACCTGAAGTAACCAGATTAGGTGTACAAGGACATCTTGGGATGTCGGGGAACAGAGTGCAAGAAGAAGGTCTATGACCTCACTGTGAACTAATCTTTGACCTTTGACCTTAACTTTTGAAAAAGATTGTCTGGGGCATCTCTTGTACTATTTCACCACGAGTAACCAGATTTGGTGAACATATTGGGATGGCGGAGTGCAAGAATTAGGTCACTGTGATCTCTGACTTGACCTTTGACCTTTGCTTTTGAAAATATTTGTCTTGGGCATATCTTCTATACTATTTCACATGGAGTATCCAGATTTGGTGTACAAGGACAATTTGGGATGGCGGAGTGCAGAGTGTAAGAATTAGGTCACTGTGATGTATGACTTGACCTTGCGTGGTCCCTCTGTCCTCGTCCGTCAACTTTTCCTTTAAACAACTTCTTCTGAAGAACGGACAGGCCTAGACTCATGATATTTGGCTGAAAGCTTTGTTGGTAGGAGCCTGACAAAGCTTGAGAATTAAAATGACATTGACCTACTTTCAAGGTCACAGGGGTCAAATATATCAAACACTTCAAACGACTTCTTCTGAAGAACTGAAAGGTAAAGAATCTTTAGATTTGGCTGGTGGCTTCCTGGGATAGAGCCCAACAAAGTTTGAGAATGAAAATTAGTTTGACCTACTTTTAAGGTCACATGAGGCAGATATGTGAAATACTTCAAACGACTTCTTCTGAAAAACTGGAGGGTATAGAACCTTAATATTTGGTTGGTTATTTCCTGGGAAACAGCCCAAAAAAGGTTGAGAATGAAAATGACCTTGACTTACTTTCAAGGTCTAAGCGTTCAAATATGTCAAACGGTTCAAACTACTTCGTCTGAAGAATTAAAAGGCTTAAGATTATAATATTTGGCTGGAGACTTCCTGGGATAGAGCTCACTACAGTTTGCGAATGAAAATGACCTCAACTAAAAGAAATGGACATTGACCTACTTACAAGGTCACAGGAAAAAATATGTCAAGCAACTTCTGAAGAAGAATAAAAAAGCATAGAATCTTATAATAATATTTTGCTGATAGTTTCAACAGATGGAGCCAACAAAGTTTGCGAGGGAAATATTTTTAGTGCAATATGATATTTAATGAGAATATTTTGCTATGACTGGTATATATTCAGGTAAGGGAATCAGGCCCTCTTGGGCCTCTTGTTCCTGATTCTGCCATGAATAAACAAAACAATTTTACCATTACAAAGATGCCTTTGATATTGTATTATGTATCAGGATACTTTCCTGACAGTAGGTACAGCCTAACATAAGTGTACTGTTTGTTAGTTATAAAAATCATTACCAGTGGGGGACTATGGATTGCCTCGCAATACTTTGCCTTGTTCCTAATTATTTTACATGTTTATAAACCAAGGCCTTGAATATATGTGTTTTCACTTATTGATGAAGTGATATATATAACTTCATTGTTACAGAGATGTTGCACTAACCATCATTAACTCCGAAATGTGGGAGGATGCATTAAGAAATGAAACATCAGAGCTTGGCACAGATCAAAAGAGCACCCCTATGAGGAAGCTGATTAAGAAAATGCCTGGTGAGTTTTATCTATTTGAAATTCATTAAGATTATAGGATAGGTAAATTCTACCAGAGGCGTTTTCAAAATTGGTCGAGGGGTTCTGCCAAATTTGAAAATCCAGATGGTTGAATTTCCCTATCCTCACCCCTAGACATGATAGAGTATTTTTCTCTCATTCCAACTACCAGAATAAGCTCAGAAACCATGAAAATGCATACTGACTGATATATATCAGTGATTTATTACTGTCCCTCTCATACATACCTTACAGTATACAGAACTGAGAACCTCAAACTATCAGCAACCATTTATCTTAACCGTAACATGCGTTTTAATTTCTCATTTAAAACAAGTGTATCGATGTGTGTTGTATTTCCCAGATATTGCTGAAGCTGTATTTAACAAGTGTATGACTGACAACAAGAAGAGTTTTGAGCACCCTGACTACAAAGTCACATTTAACTACGAGTTTCTGGATGATGTTTACTCCCTTGGGACATGGCGGGAGACTGGACCAAGCGAAAGTGGCGGGTCATCTGATGGTCAGTAGTTAAATACAATTTCGAAAACAACTCAGATATATTTGTTTGTGTCAGAGTTAAACATTGATAAACATTGTTAGTATAAATGATATTTTGTTGTCTAATGGTTAAGGGTATGATTTAGATTATTTTTTATCTAAATGGAAATCATTTGTTGATTAGAAAAAAGTTATCACTGGTTTACAACATATATGTACCTTTGTGATACGAATGTAAATAGATTTACTGTTTCCATAAAGTGAATAATTCTGTAATTATTGTGTTAATCAGTGACTTTATGAGACATACATTGACATCAACATTACTGGCCTTTACTGCTAATAGCATGTCATGTACTAATGACATCATTGACCTTTACCCCTGAGACACATGTATTGATGACATCATTGACCTTCGCCCCTGAGACACATGTATTGATGACATCATTGAACTTCACCCCTGAGACAAATTTATTGATGATATCAGTGACCTTCACTCCTGAGACATATGTATTGAAGACATCATTGACTTACCCCTGAGACACATGTATTGATGACATCATTTAACTTCACCCCTGAGACAAATTTATTGATGATATCATTAACCTTCACTCCTGAGACATATGTATTGATGACATCATTGACTTACCCCTGAGACACATATATTGATGATATCATTGACTTACCCCTGAGACACATGTATTGTTGACAACATTGACCTTCACCCCTGAAACACATGTACTAATGATAATGCCATTGACCTTCACCCCTGAGACACATGTATTGATGACATCATTGACATTCACCCCTGAGACACATTGATGACATCATTGACCTTCACCCCTGAAACACATGTACTAATGATAATGCCATTGACCTTCACCCCTGAGACACATGTATTGATGACATCATTTAACTTCACCCCTGAGACAAATTTATTGATGATATCAGTGACCTTCACTCCTGAGACATATGTATTGATGACATCATTGACTTACCCCTGAGACACATGTATTGATGACATCATTTAACTTCACCCCTGAGACAAATTTATTGATGATATCATTGACCTTCACTCCTGAGACATATGTCTTGATGACATCATTGACTTACCCCTGAGACACATATATTGATGATATCATTGACTTACCCCTGAGACACATGTATTGATGACATCATTTAACTTCACCCCTGAGACAAATTTATTGATGATATCAGTGACCTTCACTCCTGAGACATATGTATTGCTGACATCATTGACTTACCCCTGAGACACATGTATTGTTGACAACATTGACCTTCACCCCTGAAACACATGTACTAATGATAATGCCATTGACCTTCACCCCTGAGACACATATTGATGACATCATTGACCTTCACCCATGAGACACATTGATGACATCATTGACCTTCCCCCCTGAGACACATTGATGACATCATTGACCTTCCCCCCTGAGACACATGTACTAATGATAATGACATAATTGACCTTCACCCCTAAGACACATGTATTGATGACATCATTGACCTTTACCCCTGAGATACATGTATTGATGACATCATTGACCTTCACCCCAGAAACACATGTACTAATGATAATGCCATTGACCTTCACCCCGGAGACACATATTGATGACATCATTGACCTTCACCCCAGAAACACATGTACTAATGATAATGCCATTGACCTTCACCCCTGAGACACATATTGATGACATCATTGACCTTCACCCCTGAGACACATTGATGACATCATTGACCTTCACCCCTGAGACACATATTGATGACATCATTGACTTTTACAACACAGGGAGTGTATACAATGAGGACTTCACCCTGTCCTCCTCGGCCAAACCCTACACCACCGACTCTAGTGAGATGAAGAAGAACCACCCTCTCATGATAATGGTAAGAATCTCTCTTGTCAGTTGTATGTCCTTGTCTCATACATTTCATGTTATATAAACAGACCAAAATTGACCATCTTTTGTATTTCTTTTACATATTTAGCTACAAATGTCGTCTGAGTTAAGTTTGTTATACAAATTCATGTAAATTGAGTTTTTCATTATATTTCTGTCATATTTCTACAACACAGAAAAATGTATTCACAAATTTTATTTGTGTCGTGTATATCTGGTCACCTTGTCTGCCTAATACGTAGGTGACGTCCAAGCGAGAGGACCTTCTGGCCCATCCACTGGTTACCTCTCTTCTCCGACACAAATGGAACAGTTTTGGCAGAGTGTTTTACTACATCAATTTTTTCGTCTATGCTATTTTCCTGACCTTCCTCACCGGCTACATCCTGAGTACCAGTCCACCGTACTCTTACAGGTAGAGTTACTTCCCCTTACTATACAGGTAGAGTTACTTCCCCTTACTATACAGGCAAAGTTACTTCCCCGACTACTTAGATAGAGTTACCTTACTTACTTATCTCCCCTCCTTAGACAGAAATCAACCAAGCAATGAGTATCACGAGTCAATGAGAATATAGCCAGGCATTACACTCTCATTATTCAGTAGAAATTCCTTAAGTATTGAGTAGCTTGTAATTCTCCTGTTGTGGAGGATTGTGATCATTTCTTCTTCACTGTTCTCCTGTTATGGAGGATTGTGATCATTTCTTCCTTCACTGTTCTCCTGGTGTGGAGGATTGTGATCATTTCTTCTTTCACTGTTCTCCTGGTGTGGAGGATTGTGATCATCTCTTCTTTCACTGTTCTCCTGGTGTGGAGGATTGTGATCATCTCTTCCTTCACTGTTCTCCTGGTGTGGAGGATTGTGATCATCTCTTCCTTCACTGTTCTCCTGGTGTGGAGGATTGTGATCATCTCTTCCTTCACTGTTCTCCTGGTGTGGAGGATTGTGATCATCTCTTCCTTCACTGTTCTCCTGGTGTGGAGGATTGTGATCATCTCTTCCTTCACTGTTCTCCTGGTGTGGAGGATTGTGATCATCTCTTCCTTCACTGTTCTCCTGGTGTGGAGGATTGTGATCATCTCTTCCTTCACTGTTCTCCTGGTGTGGAGGATTGTGATCATCTCTTCCTTCACTGTTCTCCTGGTGTGGAGGATTGTGATCATCTCTTCCTTCACTGTTCTCCTGGTGTGGAGGATTGTGATCATCTCTTCCTTCACTGTTCTCCTGGTGTGGAGGATTGTGATCATCTCTTCCTTCACTGTTCTCCTGGTGTGGAGGATTGTGATCATCTCTTCCTTCACTGTTCTCCTGGTGTGGAGGATTGTGATCATCTCTTCCTTCACTGTTCTCCTGGTGTGGAGGATTGTGATCATCTCTTCCTTCACTGTTCTCCTGGTGTGGAGGATTGTGATCATCTCTTCCTTCACTGTTCTCCTGGTGTGGAGGATTGTGATCATCTCTTCCTTCACTGTTCTCCTGGTGTGGAGGATTGTGATCATCTCTTCCTTCACTGTTCTCCTGGTGTGGAGGATTGTGATCATCTCTTCCTTCACTGTTCTCCTGGTGTGGAGGATTGTGATCATCTCTTCCTTCACTGTTCTCCTGGTGTGGAGGATTGTGATCATCTCTTCCTTCACTGTTCTCCTGGTGTGGAGGATTGTGATCATCTCTTCCTTCACTGTTCTCCTGGTGTGGAGGATTGTGATCATCTCTTCCTTCACTGTTCTCCTGGTGTGGAGGATTGTGATCATCTCTTCCTTCACTGTTCTCCTGGTGTGGAGGATTGTGATCATCTCTTCCTTCACTGTTCTCCTGGTGTGGAGGATTGTGATCATCTCTTCCTTCACTGTTCTCCTGGTGTGGAGGATTGTGATCATCTCTTCCTTCACTGTTCTCCTGGTGTGGAGGATTGTGATCATCTCTTCCTTCACTGTTCTCCTGGTGTGGAGGATTGTGATCATCTCTTCCTTCACTGTTCTCCTGGTGTGGAGGATTGTGATCATCTCTTCCTTCACTGTTCTCCTGGTGTGGAGGATTGTGATCATCTCTTCCTTCACTGTTCTCCTGGTGTGGAGGATTGTGATCATCTCTTCCTTCACTGTTCTCCTGGTGTGGAGGATTGTGATCATCTCTTCCTTCACTGTTCTCCTGGTGTGGAGGATTGTGATCATCTCTTCCTTCACTGTTCTCCTGGTGTGGAGGATTGTGATCATCTCTTCCTTCACTGTTCTCCTGGTGTGGAGGATTGTGATCATCTCTTCCTTCACTGTTCTCCTGGTGTGGAGGATTGTGATCATCTCTTCCTTCACTGTTCTCCTGGTGTGGAGGATTGTGATCATCTCTTCCTTCACTGTTCTCCTGGTGTGGAGGATTGTGATCATCTCTTCCTTCACTGTTCTCCTGGTGTGGAGGATTGTGATCATCTCTTCCTTCACTGTTCTCCTGGTGTGGAGGATTGTGATCATCTCTTCCTTCACTGTTCTCCTGGTGTGGAGGATTGTGATCATCTCTTCCTTCACTGTTCTCCTGGTGTGGAGGATTGTGATCATCTCTTCCTTCACTGTTCTCCTGGTGTGGAGGATTGTGATCATCTCTTCCTTCACTGTTCTCCTGGTGTGGAGGATTGTGATCATCTCTTCCTTCACTGTTCTCCTGGTGTGGAGGATTGTGATCATCTCTTCCTTCACTGTTCTCCTGGTGTGGAGGATTGTGATCATCTCTTCCTTCACTGTTCTCCTGGTGTGGAGGATTGTGATCATCTCTTCCTTCACTGTTCTCCTGGTGTGGAGGATTGTGATCATCTCTTCCTTCACTGTTCTCCTGGTGTGGAGGATTGTGATCATCTCTTCCTTCACTGTTCTCCTGGTGTGGAGGATTGTGATCATCTCTTCCTTCACTGTTCTCCTGGTGTGGAGGATTGTGATCATCTCTTCCTTCACTGTTCTCCTGGTGTGGAGGATTGTGATCATCTCTTCCTTCACTGTTCTCCTGGTGTGGAGGATTGTGATCATCTCTTCCTTCACTGTTCTCCTGGTGTGGAGGATTGTGATCATCTCTTCCTTCACTGTTCTCCTGGTGTGGAGGATTGTGATCATCTCTTCCTTCACTGTTCTCCTGGTGTGGAGGATTGTGATCATCTCTTCCTTCACTGTTCTCCTGGTGTGGAGGATTGTGATCATCTCTTCCTTCACTGTTCTCCTGGTGTGGAGGATTGTGATCATCTCTTCCTTCACTGTTCTCCTGGTGTGGAGGATTGTGATCATCTCTTCCTTCACTGTTCTCCTGGTGTGGAGGATTGTGATCATCTCTTCCTTCACTGTTCTCCTGGTGTGGAGGATTGTGATCATCTCTTCCTTCACTGTTCTCCTGGTGTGGAGGATTGTGATCATCTCTTCCTTCACTGTTCTCCTGGTGTGGAGGATTGTGATCATCTCTTCCTTCACTGTTCTCCTGGTGTGGAGGATTGTGATCATCTCTTCCTTCACTGTTCTCCTGGTGTGGAGGATTGTGATCATCTCTTCCTTCACTGTTCTCCTGGTGTGGAGGATTGTGATCATCTCTTCCTTCACTGTTCTCCTGGTGTGGAGGATTGTGATCATCTCTTCCTTCACTGTTCTCCTGGTGTGGAGGATTGTGATCATCTCTTCCTTCACTGTTCTCCTGGTGTGGAGGATTGTGATCATCTCTTCCTTCACTGTTCTCCTGGTGTGGAGGATTGTGATCATCTCTTCCTTCACTGTTCTCCTGGTGTGGAGGATTGTGATCATCTCTTCCTTCACTGTTCTCCTGGTGTGGAGGATTGTGATCATCTCTTCCTTCACTGTTCTCCTGGTGTGGAGGATTGTGATCATCTCTTCCTTCACTGTTCTCCTGGTGTGGAGGATTGTGATCATCTCTTCCTTCACTGTTCTCCTGGTGTGGAGGATTGTGATCATCTCTTCCTTCACTGTTCTCCTGGTGTGGAGGATTGTGATCATCTCTTCCTTCACTGTTCTCCTGGTGTGGAGGATTGTGATCATCTCTTCCTTCACTGTTCTCCTGGTGTGGAGGATTGTGATCATCTCTTCCTTCACTGTTCTCCTGGTGTGGAGGATTGTGATCATCTCTTCCTTCACTGTTCTCCTGGTGTGGAGGATTGTGATCATCTCTTCCTTCACTGTTCTCCTGGTGTGGAGGATTGTGATCATCTCTTCCTTCACTGTTCTCCTGGTGTGGAGGATTGTGATCATCTCTTCCTTCACTGTTCTCCTGGTGTGGAGGATTGTGATCATCTCTTCCTTCACTGTTCTCCTGGTGTGGAGGATTGTGATCATCTCTTCCTTCACTGTTCTCCTGGTGTGGAGGATTGTGATCATCTCTTCCTTCACTGTTCTCCTGGTGTGGAGGATTGTGATCATCTCTTCCTTCACTGTTCTCCTGGTGTGGAGGATTGTGATCATCTCTTCCTTCACTGTTCTCCTGGTGTGGAGGATTGTGATCATCTCTTCCTTCACTGTTCTCCTGGTGTGGAGGATTGTGATCATTTCTTCCTTCACTGTTCTCCTGGTGTGGAGGATTGTGATCATTTCTTCCTTCACTGTTCTCTGTAAACTTATCAAAGGCAACTTCTCCTGAACTCCATTGGAGCTTTTAATGATACTATTTCATTAAATATTCAGACCATTCTTTATGGATGTGAAAGACTCGATATTAATATGAAGGCAAGTATTCTGGAGATGGTTCAGAGATTCATTAAATATACTAGACACTTTTACTAGATTTCACTTTTATATATAATTAATCTATTGTCACATGACTTTGCTGTTTAGAATGATACCAGTTTCCCTTGCCCAATTCCTTTGCATCCAAGATCTGAACAATAAATATTCTGAAATGAAAGAACCTTGAGATTGAATAGAATACTTTGCATATGAATATAAAAAGAATGAAGGCTTTTTATGAGCTTAAACCATTTTTAATCATAAATCATTTTTGGAATGTCTGATTTACTTACAGTACGACTGGCAATGCGTCCTGTGAGCTTGTGTACACCAGCACCTCCCCAGTTTATGAACAACATATAGTTGCTAAAATTGGAAAATACGTCGTCATAGCTCTGGCAGCGTGGAATCTTCTCCGTGAGGTAGGTGGTGTCATTCATAAGGTTTAGATTTTTTAGTTCCCCTGCCCATCCGGCGTCCCTCTGTCTGTCCCTCCGTCGTCGTTCGTCAACTTTTCCTTTAAAGAACTTCTTTTGTAAAACGAACAGGCCTAGATTCATGATATTTGGCTGAAAGCTCCGTGGTAGAAGCCTGACTAAGTTTGGGAACGAAAATGACCTTGAACTACACTACGGTCAAATATGTCAAATGCTTCAAACGACTTCTGAAAAATTTATAGGTATAGAATCTTCATATTTAGCTGGTGGCTTCCTGAGATAAAGGCTGACAAAGTTTGAGAATGAACATGACCTTGTCCTACTTTCAAGGTTACAGCAGTCAAATATGTCTAACGCTTCACAAGACTTCTTCTGAAGAACTGAAATGTATAGAATCTTCATATTTAGTTGGTATCTTCTTGAGATAAAGCCTGACAAAGTTTGAGACTGAACATGACCTTGACCTGCTTTCAAGGTCACAGCAGTAAAATATGTCAAACGTTTCAAACGACTTCTGAAGAAGAACTGAAAGGTTTAGAATCTTCATATTTAGTTGGTATCTTCCTGAGATAGAGCCCGACAAAGTTTGAGAATGAAAATGACCTTGACCTACTTTCAAGGTCACAGCTGTCAAATATGTCAAACACTTCAAATGACTTCTTCTGAAGAACTAAAAGGTATTAAGGTATAGAATCTTTATATTTGGCTGGTGGCTTCCTGAGATAAAGCATGTGAGAGTTTGAGAATGAACATGACTTTGACTTACTATCAAGGTCACAGGGATCAAATATGTCAAATGCTTCAAACGACTTCTTCTGAAGAACTGAGAGGAATAGAATGTTCATATTTGGCTGGTTGCTTGCTGGGATAGAGCCTGACAAAGTTTGAGAATGAAAATGACCTTGCCCTACTTTCAAGGTCTTGGGGATAAAATGTGTCAAATGATTAAACGACTACAGTATAATCTTAGAGCATAGATTTATAACATTTGTCTGGTATTTTCTGGGATGGCGCCTGACAAAGTGTTTGAAAAAGAAAATAACCTAGATCTCCTTATAAAGTAACAGGGGTCAAAGATGTCAAACAATTCAAACAACTTCTGAAGAAGAACCAAAAATCATAGAATCATATAAGAATATTTGGCTGGTAGTTTCAACAGATGGAGCCGACAAAGTTTACAAGTGAAATATTTGTAGTACAGGATAATATTCAATGAGAACATTTTGCTATGACTACTTAAATATTCAGGTGAGCGATACAGGCCCTCTAGGCCTCGTGTTTCCAGATTACAGTACTGATTCTATAGCACTGACTGTTCGATGATATGATACCTAATTGTATTTGGGTATAAGACACCTATTTAAGTTTCAATTTGTTAAACCTAATCATATTTGTGTTTGTTATAACTTATTGTATCATGGTTGTTTTATATTTTGGTATTTGGTGTGTTATATTAAACAATTTTGTGCGTTACATCTGAGTTTTTTACAAGGTGGAATCTAATTGTATTTAATAAGATGAAAAATATCTGTGTTGAGTGGGGTGAAATCTTAACTGTATTAGGTGTTGTTGACTATATTTGATGATGTATTAATTTTCTATATTTGATTGTGCTATTGACAGTTGCTGCAGATATACCAGGCAAAGCTCCAGTATCTCGGCTGGGAAAACCTCATTGAGTGGCTGACCTATGTGTTTGCCCTGCTGCTTGTCATTGACTTCCAAGATTGTCAGAAGACAACTGGATACAGATTTGTAAGTACAGCATGTCAATGAGTACAAGTCCATGAGTACTGGCAGTAAATAAGTACAGCATGTCATTGCATTCTGCATGTCAATAAGTATAGTGAGTCAATGAGTTCAGCAAGTCATTTAATATAATGAGCCATAATGGTTTTTATAGGACTGGCAGTGTATGATCATTAATCTGTGCAATTGGTTTTTATAGGACTGGCAGTGCATGATCATTAATCTGTGTAATTGTTTTGTATAGGACTGGCAGTGTATGATCCTTAATCTGTGTAATTGGTTTTTATAGGACTGGCAGGGGATGGTCATTAATCTGTGTAATTGGTTTCTATAGGACTGGCAGTGTATGGTCATTAATCTGTGGAATTGGTTTTTATAGGACTGGCAGTGGGTGGTGATTAATCTGTGTAATTGGTTTTTACAGGACTGGCAGTGTATGAGCATTAATCTGTGTAATTGTTTTTTTATAGGACTGGCAGTGTACGGTCATTAATCTGTGTAATTGGTTTCTATAGGACTGGCAGTGTATGGTCATTAATCTGTGGAATTGGTTTTTATAGGACTGGCAGTGTTTGGTCATTAATCTGTGTAATTGTTTTTATAGGACTGGCAGTGTACGGTCATTAATCTGTGTAATTGGTTTTTATAGGACTGGCAGGGGATGGTCATTAATCTGTGTAATTGGTTTCTATAGGACTGGCAGTGTATGATCCTTAATCTGTGTAATTGGTTTTTATAGGCCTGGCAGTGTATGACCATTACTCTGTGTAATTTGTTTTTATAGGACTCGCAGTGTATGATCATTAATCTGTGCAATTGGTTTTTATAGGACTGGCAGGGTATGATCATTAATCTGTGTAATTTGTTTTTATAGGACTGCTTGCTGGGATAGAGCCTGACAAAGTTTGAGAATGAAAATGACCTTGACCTACTTTCAAGGTGCTGTGGCAGTCAAATATGTCAAACTCATCAAACGACTTCTTCTGAAGAACTAAAAGGTATAGAACCTTCATATTTGGCTGTTGGCTTCCCGAGATAGAGCCCGACAAAGTTTGAGAATGAAAATGACCTTGCCCTACTTTCAAGGTGCTGTGGCAGTCAAATATGTCAAACTCTTCAAACGACTTCTTCTGAAGAACTAAAAGGTATAGAACCTTCATATTTGGCTGTTGGCTTCCCGAGATAGAGCCCGACAAAGTTTGAGAATGAAAATGACCTTGACCTACTTTCAAGGTCACAGGGGTCAAATATGTCAATGATCATTAATCTGTGTAATTTGTTTTTATAGGACTGGCAGTGTACGGTCATTAATCTGTGTAATTGGTTTCTATAGGACTGGCAGTGTATGATCACTAATCTGTGTAATTTGTTTTTATAGGACTCGCAGTGTATGATCATTAATCTGTGGAATTTGTTTTTATAGGACTGGCAGTGTACGGTCATTAATCTGTGTAATTGGTTTCTATAGGACTGGCAGTGTATGATCCTTAATCTGTGTAATTGGTTTTTACAGGACTGGCAGTGTATGAGCATTAATCTGTGTAATTGTTTTTTATTGGACTGGCAGTGTATGATCATTACTCTGTGTAATTGTTTTTTATAGGCCTGGCAGTGTATGATCATTAATCTGTGTAATTGGTTTTTATAGGACTGGCAGTGGTCTCTGGGGGCCATCGCAATATTCCTGGCATGGATCGACCTAGTTCTGTTCCTCCAGAAGTTTCCTCGGTTTGGTATCTACGTTGTCATGTTCAAGGACATCCTCAACACCTTCATCCAGTTCTTCATAGTCTTCTTCCTCTTTATTGTTGCCTTCGCTCTCGGCTTCTATACTGTACTCCAGAACCAGGTATTTTGTGATGTCTTTTGCTGACAATGTCTTGTAAAGTATAATCCATGCATATTTAGCTCACCTGCCCGAAGGCTTATGTCATGGTGCGATGTCTGTCGTCTGTCAACTTTTCCTTTAAACAACTTCTTCTGAAGAGCAAACTTGCATAGAGCCATGATATGTGACCGAAAGCTTCGTTGGCAGGAGCCCGACAAAGTTTGAGAACGAAAATGACCTTGACCTACTTTCAAGGTCACAGGGGTCAAATATGTCAAACGCTGCAAACGACTTCTTCTGAAGAACTAAAAGGTATATAAACTTCATATTTGGCTGATGGCTTCCTGGGATAAAGCCAGACAAAGTTTAAGAATGAAAATGACCTTGACCTACTTTCAAGGTGCTGTGGCAGTCAAATATGTCAAACGCTGCAAACAACTTCTTCTGAAGAACTAAAAGGTATAGAACCTTCATATTTGGCTGTTGGCTTCCCGAGATAGAGCCCGACAAAGTTTGAGAATGAAAATGACCTTGACCTACTTTCAAGGTCACAGGTGTCAAATATGTCAAAAACATCAAACGACTTTGGCTTCCTGGGATAGAGCTCACCAAAGTTAGCAAATGAAAATGACCTCAACCTACTTTAAAGATCACAGAGGTCAACAACAATTCAAAGGATTCGTTCTGAAGAACTAAAAGGAATGGATTCATGAGATTTGAATTGGAGCTTCTTAGGATAGAGCTATCAAAGTTTGAGAAGGAAAATGACAATGACCTACTTACAAGGTCACAGAAAAAAATATGTCAAAACAACTTCTGAAGAAGAACCAAAAAGCATAGAATGTTTGGCTGGTAGTTTCAACAGACGGAGCCAACAAAGTTTGTGAGGGAAATATTTGTAGTGCAATATAATATTTAATGAGAATATTTTGCTATGACTGCTTAAATATTCAGGTGAGCGATTCAGGCCCTCTGGGCCTCTTGTTCATAAGTGCAGGCACTGGAGGAATCTTCAAAAAAAAAGATGCAAGATAGCCATATTCAGGAAAAGTAAGATGAATAAAGTTCAAGATCATAACAAAGTTAACAACTCATGGCAATTTTACGATATCATTGACTGGTTACCTTAAACTGATGTATAGAACTGTGTGTAGCTGATATATGTAATGACATGGTATTGATACCTTGTCCACACCTAGATCCCCAGTAATCTCTGTATCTCCTGTCCACATCTAGATCCCCAGTTATCTCTATATCTCCTGTCCACACCTAGGTCTCCAGTAATCTCTGTATCTCCTGTCCACATCTAGATCCCCAGTAATCTCTGTATCTCCTGTCCACATCTAGATCCCCAGTAATCTCTGTATCTCCTGTCCACATCTAGATCCCAAGTAATCTTTGTATCTCCTGTCCACATCTAGATCCCCAGTAATCTCTGTATCTCCTGTCCACACCTAGATCCCCAGTAATCTCTGTATCTCCTGTCCACATCTAGATCTCCAGTAATCTCTGTATTTCCTGTCCACATCTAGATCCCCAGTAATCTCTGTATCTCCTGTCCACATCTAGATCCCCAGTAATCTCTGTATTTCCTGTCCACATCTAGATCCGAAGTAATCTCTGTATTTCCTGTCCACACATAGATCCCCAGTAATCTCTGTATCTCCTGTCCAAATCTAGATCCCCAGTAATCTCTGTATCTCCTGTCCACTTCTAGATCCCCAGTAATCTCTGTATCTCCTGTCCACATCTAGATCCCCAGTAATCTCTGTATCTCCTGTCCACATCTAGATCCCCAGTAATCTCTGTATTTCCTGTCCACATCTAGATCCCAAGTAATCTCTGTATTTCCTGTCCACACATAGATCCCCAGTAATCTCTGTATCTACTGTCCACATCTAGATCCCCAGTAATCTCTGTATTTCCTGTCCACATCTAGATCCCCAGTAATCTCTGTATCTCCTGTCCACACCTAGATCCCCAGTAATCTCTGTATCCTGTCCACATCTAGATCCCCAGTAATCTTTTTATATCTTTTCTATATCTAGGTACCATTCAAGACCTTTGGTCAGGCGTTGGTGAAGACCTCAGTGATGATGATTGGAGAGTTTGAGTATGATGCCATTTTCAATGGAAACCCTGCGGACCACACAGAGAAAGTTTACCAGGAATCTGTGACGTACATATTGTTTGTGATATTCATGATCATCATGTCTATCATCATAATGAACTTACTGGTGAGTGTTTGCTGTTCTCTGTTTATCTGCAGCCCTCGTCTGGTAATAGGTACACACTCACTGTACGGTGAGTGTTTGCTGTTCTCTGTTTATCTGCAGCCCTCGTCTGGTAATGGGTACACACTCACTGTACGGTGAGTGTTTGCTGTTCTC